AAAATAACAGTAACACGAGTACCAATAATAATAATAATAATAATAATAATAATAATAATAATAATAATGACAAGACGAGTAGAAAGGAGTTCACAGTCTCCACTGTATTACCCTATAAAGGAGGAAGGTACATCAGGCACAACCTTAGGAAAACTTACGTAGAATCTTCAACAAACTTACAATTAGGGTGACATTTAAATCTACAAACTCATTCAGAGATATGCTTTGTCAGCTGACTTAAGGATCCGATAGAACCAATTAAGTAAAATAATCTAATCTATCAAACTCCACGTAATGATTGAGAAGTCGAGTACATAGATCAAACTAGTCGGTCAGGATCAGTATGTATAGCAGGACATAGGAATTAAGCTAAATATGGAATGACAGATGTGAATAAGATGAATAATCTAGAAGGTCGCTTGACTATTGCAATGTAGGTATGCATTAACACATAACCACGTAATAATGGAGAATATTTATAGCTCAGGTGGATGGCCTTGATTGAATTGTGTTCTCTCAGCTGGGCTGTTTAACAACCCAGTTCGGAGAACACAATACAACCAAAACATAACCACGTAATTGGGTGGGTGAGATAAAACCACTGTACTCAAATCCAGTTAAGTCCAATATGATTATATGGCGCACGCGCGCAAGAGAGAGACCAATTAAACATATCTGGCATGGAAATAGCTACACACTGATTGAATAACAGAGAGTATGTAATGTTGATCAGGTCTGAAATAGCTCATTGTAAGAAATTCTCAGACTACAACACTGAGTGATATTACCTTAGATCTCTGAGAAGTATACGTACTTCGAAATCACAGATACGCCTTCAGGATAAATGACAATAAGATCGAAACTCTGACTATTCATCAAGACTTATTTTAGTCTCTCTTCTGATCACTTCTTTATTTATGCTTCGATATCTACACTGGACACAAATCATCGAGGCAGTAGTAATCAATAACACGTAGTTCTAAATACTAAAAGTAAAAAGACTTGATATTGGTTACATAATATAATCTAGTGTATTGAATAAAATGATTGGTTGACAACCAACCAATCAGTGAAAAGGATTCGATTGATGTAATTCTAACACGAAGCATCTGATTGGTGGTGGTATAAGTCACTTCATAATGAATTGAATTTATTGGCATTCTCCTTTTTTTTTATGAAAATTATCTTGTGTACTGATAGGGTCGACTGGAACAGAATGAAAGTTTGCACATTCTGCCAGAACATTAAGATGAGGTCATCTAAAATTGTTATACTAAATGAGTTGCACAGTGATGAGACGAAATACACAGACTAATAATGTTGACAGTGTAGGTGTCAACTTGGTCACTGTGGTAGAATTTATTTCCACATTTGATTTTTATAATTACGTCAACTAGTATTCTTTGCTTTTATTGGTAGTTAAATTTTCCATATCTCTGGTATAGAGGTTGCGTTATTTCTGCTAAATGTGTTGAGCGCTGGCTGATTCGATGGACAAAGATTCAGTAATCATTCTACTATCTCTCCAAATAAATACCTGATAGGACTTAAGTACAGTGGTTTTATCTCACCCATTCTATTGTATGTTTATGTGTTAATGCATACCTACATTGCAATAGTCAAGCGACCTTCTAGATTATTCATCTTATTCACATCTGTCATTCCATATTTAGCTTAATTCCTATGTCCTGCTATACATACTGATCCTGACCGACTAGTTTGATCTATGTACTCGACTTCTCAATCATTACGTGGAGTTTGATAGATTAGATTATTTTACTTAATTGGTTCTATCGGATCCTTAAGTCAGCTGACAAAGCATATCTCTGAATGAGTTTGTAGATTTAAATGTCACCCTAATTGTAAGTTTGTTGAAGATTCTACGTAAGTTTTCCTAAGGTTGTGCCTGATGTACCTTCCTCCTTTATAGGGTAATACAGTGGAGACTGTGAACTCCTTTCTACTCGTCTTGTCATTATTATTATTATTATTATTATTATTATTATTATTATTATTATTATTGGTACTCGTGTTACTGTTATTTTTTCGTTCGTTGTGTGTTTGTACGAATTTCCTGATATACTGTAGAGGATAATTATTAACTGTTAGCGCTTCTCTTCTACGTGTTTTAATTCCTTGTTTAGGTTTCTGGTATTACTGACTAATCAGTTTTCTAGCTGTATCACTTAGACATTTGACTAATCCTGCCTTAACTGTCTGACATTGGATGGGATGGGATGGGATGACGTGAAGTGTAGATACCTGTTGGAATGTGTTGGTTTTCTGTAGATGGTAGTATGCAAGCGGTGCATCTGTTCTTCGTATTATTCTGCAATCCACCATAGTTAATTCTCTTTGTTCATTTTCTACATCGTAAGTGAATTGGATTATGACTACTACTGGAAAAAATCTCTATTATAGCAATGTTCGTATTAACATAAAACTGCAGGTAATAGGGTGGGATAAAACCACTGTAGTCAAGCTACATGTAATTCGATAGGTTGGGCACGACTGATTACTGTATATTTGTTCATCGGATCAACACGCAACAAAGGTAATAGTAAAGACGCAACACCTTCGTTGACTTGGAAAAGGCAACCCATAGCGTCGACTGAGAATCAGTTTGCCAGCTACTTCAGCGCCACGGTTCCAATGACACAAAACTTTATGAACCTCATTTAAGAGCTATATGATGATGCTACATGCAAAGTGAATCATAATGGAAAGCTCAGTGATTCTTTTGAAATGAAGATAGAGTAAGACAAGGCAAAGTTACCGCTTACTATCACCGATGATTTTCATGATTGTAGTCGACTAGACTCGACTGTACTGTACTGTACTGGATCATGCAACCGACAGTTGTGAGGAGCGAGAAGATGAGCATACACTGGCTGTTTGACAGATGAAAGACCCTACAGCATTTGGATTTCGTCGATGCTGATTTATGTCAAATGTATCACAAACTGGAATATCTGCAGGCAAACACCAACAAGTTGACAGAAGAGGCAGAGAAGATGAGACTTCCTTCAGGTGGAGGTAGAAAAGACACAGGTCATGAAGATACCCAACCAACCAACCAACCAACAACAACAAGCAACAATCACCATCATCAATCACTATGAACGGGAGGAACTGAAAGAGAGTTGTCCATTACGCCTACCTACCTACCCACCCATCCACCCACCTAGGAGGCAGCATCGTCTCGACTACAGGCGACACAGGTAAAGATGAGAACATGGAACCCAGGGTCGGAAAGACTGCAAGACAGACCTTATTACTTCAATCTGAAATCAGTGTGGAGATCTACTGCGCTGCACTGCACTACACTACACTACACTACACTACACTACACTATACTGCACTTCACTCAGCATAAAGGATGAACAACATCCGGATTTACAACACTAAATCAGTCAATTAAGTCAGTGCTCCTATGTGATGGTTAAGAGACTTTGCGCGTCACGAAAAGCATTTGCAACAAACTGCCCACACTCATCAACAGTTGCCGCCTACACTCACTCGATACTGCAGATGGAGATGAAATGTATGTCGAGAATAATAAGAATAAACAATGAGGAAGTGTTGCCTGACAAGGAACCAACGAGCCAAGAACCTATGGTCCAACAAATCTGGAGAAGGAGAGAGTGTAGATAGATTGGAGTGGATTAGACATACAGTGAGAGGACCATTCGGGGACATCACGTACCAGGTGAGGCCAAGTCGTCGAGTGGAACCGAAATGGGAAGGGACAGGTGGGAAGTTGGAGTGTGATATAGAGGAGATTATCTGAGGAAGAAATGAAAGGTTGTGCACAGTCGTGGAGCCATATTTAAAAGATTACAGAGAACAGACTGAAACAGCTACTAGCTATTGAAGCCCTATGTTCGACTACGAACCCAAGGGACAAATAATCGTAATAACACCTACACCGGAGATAGTGAAAAGTTTGCTACCAATAGAAACAAAAAATATGAAGTCATAGGAATATAAAAAGTATTTATCGAAAGTAGTATGATTACTTTGATATGATTGTGAGGAATAATAATTTATGCTGGGTACATCGTCATCAAATAAACAATACTATATCTAATTGTATATGTTATTCATCAAATAAACAAATCTAATATGGAATTAAATTCTATCACATTGCCCAAGTTTTACACATAATTAACATGTCTAGTTCAAGCAGAAAACTGTTCATCATCATCATCATCATTATCAACATAGGACCAGACATTACTGTGTAACGGTCCGAGTTGCCACACCTCATATCAGCACATCGAGTAAAAAGGTAGTGAGGTGAAGGATGAAGATAAGTGAATGCAGTCAAAAGAAATATAAAGTACGAGAAGAAAGGAAAGAGGAGTGACAAAATGATGAGATTCGGTATAGCGTTGTTAAGATGAGGATAATGTGTGTGGGGATACATCTGCACCACTGACTTCGGTTCTCACCCATATCACCTACAGTCAGTCTCCAACCACTGGTTCCTCTTGTCTCGCCGACCCCAACCACCTAGTCTGCATCACCCCACATGGCTCAAACCAACGGTCAGAGACTTCATGCATTTGTGCCATGTTTTAGTCTGGCCACCTCGAGCCTTTTTCCAGTCTGGACCTACTTCAGCCAACATTGTGTGACTAGGCGATCGGTGACTAGGCATACGTAGTACGTGTCCCAACCATCTCAGTCGATGAAGGTTCATAACCTCGTCAACTGACTTACCTCTTCTCCCTAAAACTCTACACCTAACTTCTGCATTACCCACATGGTGACACCATGGAATACGTCCTATACTACGAAGGCAACGGTGGTCAAACACCTGAAGCCTTTTTATATCCTCCACTTTCAATGGCCATGTTTCACAGCCATACAGTAGAACAGAGCGGACTGCTGTGCAGTAGCAGCAGAAAACTGTTAGTAAATAAATATTAAAAAAACTGTATCCATGTAATATAAAATAATGAAAAAAACTAATAGTTTTAAACAAATTCACTTACCTTCATCATCTAAATTGAATAATTCAGCTGTTGTATCTTCGATAAGTGTACATTCAACCAATGAAATTTTACCACAGTTCTGTAAATGTTTATTATGATTGTATTGATAGGTTGATTTAGACAACAAAAACAAATGAAAACAAGTAAATAATCTGTAATCAATAATAATTATTGTTCATTATTACTATTTATTATTGAAATATATGTGATTCTATGTGCTTTAGCCTTAGTTGTATTTTGGTGCCAGGAAGGTGCACTACAGAGCTCCTATAGGTATGCTAGGATATTCCATGAATGTTAATTATGGCAATGAGATTAGTTGAGGATAGTAGAGGAATCCAAGATGCACGTTTTATCAACTATTTGGGACTCATTAGTTGGATGTACCTGTACCCTAGTGTTGAGTGATGTTGTTCCCACTGGGACTTGAATCTCACCGCTCCAAATGCCAAGGCGTTATCTACTGTACCAGGGAGGAACAATAGCCAATTCTTGTACAACGGGTAGTAGTTATTAGTGATTATGAAATTCATATTGTGACATTAAAAACAAGATATTCAGTTAGAAGGACTCTTTCCGTTGAATTTATTCTCAAGCCATACATTCATATATATGATGTGGTATTTAAAGACTGTAATCAGTGAGAAAGATTTAACTTAAAGAACGAGGGGTTGAAACAATAATAACGGTGTATAATTGCTTGTATTATACCCTCGTTGATTGGACCGAATTGATCAGTCTCTATCGGCATATAGTCCCCTGTGCTGATGTGTTCAAATTATAGTAAAGATGCATAGACGCTAGCAGTGTTATCCAGGATGTACATTTCCTCGTATTTGGGACTCATCTGCTGGATGTACCTGCATCCCAGTGGGAAGTGATGTTATACCCATCTGGATTTGTACTGGGGAGCAGTCGCTTCAAGCACTCGAGCGTTACCCACCACACCACCGAGGCACGATAGCCTTTTTTATGCGATGGGTATAGTTTTAGTATAATTGCTTGTATCATACAGTCGTTGATTGGACTGGATCGATCGGTCTCTATTGGCATATAGGAATATGGGTAATTAGAGTAAAACTATACCCGTTGCACAAGAAATGGCTATTGTGGCTCGGTGGTGTGGTGGGTAACGCTCTAATGCTTGAAGCGATTGCTCCCCAGTCCGAATCCAGGTGGTAACAACATCACTCCCCACTGGGATGCAGGTAAATCCAGCTGATAAGTCCCAAATAGGACGAAATGGGCATCCTGGATTACACTGCTAGCCACTGTCTACCTTTACAATAATAATAGTGATTATAATTATAATGCTGCTAGTTGATAACGTGTAAAGTTTGAAAGATAACAAAATGGGGTTACATAAGATTTTGAATCGTTTATAAGGTGCATATAGGTTAAAAAGGATGAGAACGTTAATAAACAATCAAAGTAGATTAGGTAATATGAGTGAGACAAGTTTATTGGAGTAAATTGAAAATGTTTTGTTCAAAATTACCACTATAGAAAAGATTAAATGAAATAACAGCAAAAACAATCATATATAAAAATATAGTGATCATGACGATATAAGAGTACAGAGACTAATTTTGAGGAAGTTGTGGGGAGTAAGGATCGTGGGTGCGCACTGTTGCGCAGTCTCATACTAGGACAAAACAGCTGTCCAGTGCTCTTGGTTTTTCTTTGTTCCTCTGCCAACTGATGTCAGTCTACGATGAATAACAACTTGAAGTATGAAGATTAACTTGACAAAACTTTGGGGGAAGGGGGGGTGTTTGAAAAACGATGATGATGATGATGATGAGAATGAGAGGGAATTATGCCAGTGTGAGATGAAGTGAGTTTAAATTGACAAATATAACTAACAACGAGTTATTAAGGCCGGGGTTGAGATTCTGGTTTCACGAAGCGTTTTGAGTGAAAAGTTTCGAGTTCGGTCCATGTATACCTGATGCTTCAACTCTATACGTAATCGGTGCAAAAGGTAGACCTCTGGAGTAGTTCAATTGAACAATTTATGCTGAATAACCTAATTCAAAACGGTGTTCACATATCGATGAAGTTGTTATTCTTCACTCATCTTTGGTAAGCCAAACTGGGTAGTGTTGAGCAACACGTTTTCCGGGAGATCAGTTTACAACGTTCACTTATAGTCAACTTGACAGTAGCATGTAAACTTGGACTTAACAATCCACTTTTGGTTACTTTTATCAATTTCATTTCATTTCACTTTGGTATACTTCTCTTCTATTATCATCGTTATCACCAATTTTCACTTCATTGACAATATTTCAACCATATTTCACTAGTTAATATCAATTCGTCCCTCCTTATTCATTAACCCATTTTCTATTTCTTCTTCAACTTGAACAACTACCACCATCAATACCTACTGTATATTTTGCATATTGACTGAGCAACTTTTTAGTGGAACTGTCTATCATTTTACTGACTATAAATGTCATTGTACAGTTTGATATAATGAAATTGTTGAAAAGTAATGCTTCATCTTCACTAATACATACCTTGATCTTATTAACTGGGCGTATTTCGTCGGTTATATTATTTTATTTACTTTAAGCATCTTTTTACGCATGACTATATTTATAATAACACCAATGTGTATCTCAGTTGGTCCAAGAGCTTTCAATTCATTCTTCATATAACTATTTATCCCTTATAATTCAGAAATAATCACTGCACGTTGAGTGAAACCGTAATAATAAGAATAGTGTTAAATATATTTCCTCCATGTCACATTCGAAAACCCCTCTAGGGCCTGGCACATAATGTCTCTAAGTGGTCTTCTCAGTGTTTGTTCAGTCGAATCCATCTACACTATGTTCTTCTGCATACTTGTTTGCTGATAGGTTCCTGGTTCGTTGGTTCCATGCCGGCCAGAGTTCCTTGTTGCTCATTCTTTCTGGCCATCTGATATTCAGCAACGAGAGTAGGCGGCAGCTGTTGATGAATGTGGGCAGTTTGTTGGAAATGCTTTTCGTAACACGCCAAGTTCCTTAACCGTCACATAGAAGCACTGACTTACTTGACTGAATTGGTGTTGTTCACGCTTTATGCTGAGTGGAGTGCTGTGCAGTGCAGTAGATGTCAACACTGATTTCAGATTAATGGAATAAGGCCTGTCTTGCAGTCTTTCCTACGCTGGGTTTCATGTTCTCATCTTTACCTGTGCCGCCTGTAGTTGAGATGATGCTGCCTCCTAGGTGGGTGGGTGGGTAGGTAGGTAGGTGTGGGGTGGTAGGTACGTAGGTAGGTAGGTGTAATGGACAACTCTCGGTTTCTCCCGTTCATAGTGATTGGTGCTTGTTGTAGTTGTTGTAGGTGGTGGGGTATCCTCATCATCTGTGTCTTTTCTACGTTCAGCTGATGGAATTCCCATCTTCCCTACCTATTCTGTCAACTTGTTGGTTTTTTCCTGTAGATCTTCGAGTTTGTGCGACATGACATCAGACACAAGTCATCGGCGAAATCCAAATCCTCTAGGTTCTTTTCCCCGGTCCAGCGTATGCCCATCTTCTCGCTTCCCATTGTTTGCTGCATGATCCAGTCCAGTCGACCACAATCAGGAATGTCATGGGTGATAGTGGGCGGCAACCTTGTTTCACTCCTATCTTCACTCCAAAAGCATCAGTGAGCTTCCCATTGTGAATTACTTGGCATGTGGCATCTGCATACAGCTGTTGGGTGAGGTTAATAAAGGTTTATGGTACTCCTGTGTGTTGAAGCAGCTGCCAAATTACCTCTCAGTTGACTCTGTCAAAGGCCTTCTCAAAGTGGATGAAGTTGAGGTAGAGAGTTGAGTTGACTGCCATTCTATTCTCTGTTCTATGATGATGCGTAGTGCAGCGTTGCAATTTGATCTGCATATGATTCGTTCTTCCTGAATCCAGTCAGCCTGTTAGGGTAGTAATTTTGAATCCAGTACATCCTTTAGTCTCTCGAGTGTGATGCAGCTTAATATTTTGCTTGCGGTGGATAGGAGTGAAGCAAGATTCCTCGCCAGTTTAAACCATAACTGTTGTACATTATCTCATATTTTGTACCGCAAACGTTGATTACCATATCTGGCCACTTCCCATCACATTTCATCTTGGTTGTAGTACTTCGCTCTATTTCTGGAAGTTCGTTGTACAGCATCTTTTTATTTGTTTTCAAAAGCGTTATATTCTACAGGTTGGAAAGCAGATAAGGCGGAGAATTCACAAAAATTAATTCATACTAATTCTGTTACGTCACCGTTTTTTTTTGGAGTAAGACAAGGCTGTCTATCACCCATGATATTCCTGATCGTGGTGGACTGGATCATGCAACAAACTGTGAGGAGCGAGAAGATGAACATACACTGAACTTATGAAAAGATCCTAGAAGATTTGGATTTCGCAGAAAACTTGTGTCTAATGTCACACAAATTTGAAGATCTACAGGCAAAATCCAACAAGCTGATAGAAGAGTCAGGGCAGCAAAGACGGGAATTCAAGTGAACATAGAGAAGACAGAGGTGATGAAGATACCCAACTACAACCAACAACAGTAACAGCGAGAACCAATCAGCATCACCAGGAGAAATATAAAGCAAGTTGTCTCTTTCACCCACCTACCTACCTACCACCCACACCTACCTACCCACCTAACTACCTGGGCTGCATTGTTTCAACTGCAGGCGGCGGCATAGACGAGGACGTCAAAACCAGTCAGGATCGAAAAAGCAAGACAGGCGTTCATTCACCTGAAACCAGTGTGGATATGTTCTGCACTGCAATCAGCATAAAGCGTGAACAACATTCGGATACTCAACACTAAGTCAGTCAAGTAAGTCAATGCTCCCATGTGATGGTTGAGAGACTAGGCGCGTTACGAAAGGCATTTCCAACAAACTGTACACATTCATCAACAGCTACCGCCTACACTCACTCGTTACTGAAGATCAGATTGCCAGAATAGTAAGATTAAGCAAGAAGGAACTGTGGCTGGCTGGCTGGCTGGCTGGCTGGCTGGCTGGCTGGCTGGCTGGCTGGCTGGCTGGCTGGCTGGCTGGCTGGCTGGCTGGCTGGCTGGCTGGCTGGCTGGCTGGCTGGCTGGCTGGCTGGCTGGCTGGCTGGCTGGCTGGCTGGCTGGCTGGCTGGCTGGCTGGCTGGCTGGCTGGCTGGCTGGCTGGCTGGCTGGCTGGCTGGCTGGCTGGCTGGCTGGCTGGCTGGCTGGCTGGCTGGCTGGCTGGCTGGCTGGCTGGCTGGCTGGCTGGCTGGCTGGCTGGCTGGCTGGCTGGCTGGCTGGCTGGCTGGCTGGCTGGCTGGCTGGCTGGCTGGCTGGCTGGCTGGCTGGCTGGCTGGCTGGCTGGCTGGCTGGCTGGCTGGCTGGCTGGCTGGCAACGAACCAACAAAGCAAGAACCTATCACTGAACAAATATGCACTAGAAGGAAGTGTAGATGGACTGTATTGGGCATGCACTGAGAAGACGATTCGGTGACATCACGTGTCAGACCAGGCCTGTTGCTTGAGTGGAACCCAGATGGGAAACGACGAGTTGGGCGTCTGAGGTGAGGGTGAGGATGACATGGAGGGGATGGTGTGTGAGGAAGAAATGAGAGGTTGTGTGCAGTGGTGGAGCCAGGTTGGAAAGATTGCAGAGGAGAGAGTGTTATGGGGACTTGCTACTGAAGCCTTATGTTCCACTAGGAACCCTAGGGATAATAATCATAAAAAAATTGTTTTTTTTTGGCTTTATTCATATTCATGAAAGGGAAGAATTTTAACAGAGAAGAAAAGATGAATAGATTCACTGAACTCACCTTGACTAATCTTAATTTGCCATTATTTGTTCGAGCAGTAATCAATAAATGATTAGTGAATAAGAAAACTTGACGAATAGCTTCCTTTCTCTCTCTACAAGATGAACCAAAATTACCTAATCTTGAACGTGATGAACGAAGTTTATCACACATCACTTGAATTAAAGTGCCTATAATATAAAAAATAGAAGAATTTAATCGTCACCTGTGGATAGAAAACAGAATCTAATGTACCTCACAGAGAATATGAAAAATGTCGTAATAAAATACAGTTATTTGTTGATTAGGGGTGAGTGACATGAAGTCCTGCCCGACCTGAGTTTCAGGCATTTTGGTACTCACTATGAACACGTAACTACAACCTTGAGGAGAATGATGCCCCCTCTTGGGTTTGAACCCACGCCACCCAGTGTCGAGGTGACTGACTTCATCATTGAGCTGTTTTGGTCACGATCAATCTCCAGCTCAGCTGCATTACAAACACTGATTGAACATTGGAGAGTAACTAATCTCATGTTGTCTAGTCCCGAGTGCTGACCGAATTGCATTGATCATTTAGCTCGTTGATCTTGTCGGTTGGAGCAGACTGAAGTGATATAACTGAGGATGACTCAATGAGTTACAGCTAGAGATTAGCATGAACCAGTGAAGAGTGTATTTGGCGCCTGACATCCGGTACAGTTAGCGTGAGTGCCATGCAAGCTCATACATGCGCGTGAGTGCACCTCAGTGCGTCAGTGGTGACTGAGTGAGTTTGGATGCATGTGTCGAGTATTGTAGTTTGGCGTCTAGACTGTTGCATATCTTCCCTGTCTATGGATTCCAGTGTCCCTGGGATGCGATCATGGAGTGAGTGTTTGTGTGACTCGATTGTTGAGGTGATTATTTTGGTGTTATTGATTGTGTGCGTTGGTTGCATGTGTGGGTTGTGTTCCACAATGAAACCCTGGGCTCGTCCGGGATTCGAACCCGGGGCCACTCGCGCCCTAAGCGAATATCATATCCCTAGACCAACAAACCACGGACTAGGTGGTCACATCTACATATACTCAACCACCACCACAACAACAACAATAACAAACAAACACACAGACACACAGTACCCTCCGTCAATCCATACAATCCACACTACAAAACATCAACCACCTCACACTCTTCCCACAATCCATGCACCAATCTTCAATCACACCAAAACTACACCGAAACGCAACGCACCGCACCTCATCATATCGCACCACATTCAATCGACCCACAATCCACTGCACTGCACTGCCCCATACAACATCTAGCATCTCTCATCATCATCATCACCACAATACAATCATCAATGTCAACTCGAAGGTGAGCGACAGTGGCATTCCCAATGTCAATTTCAGTGGGATCGGCAATGACCAAGGGGATGACATTGACAATGGCAATTCATGAAGAGGTGATGCAGATGAACGGCAGATGCACACACCACTATCAATTCATCCATACAGCCGTCCATCGATCCATACATACATGCATCCCGCCTGCCTGTCAGCCCACCACCAGCTGCCTGCCTGCCTACCTCCCTACTCATCCATGCACATCTACATCATTCGACCGCACACTGAATCCACAGCAAATCACATGATCGCTTCGCTTCACACTGCTCGACAATCGATGCCTGCTGATGTTTGGAGCATGTGGCATTTAATGGCATCACTCACTACGCGACAGTAAGACTGCTGCGCTGAAGCAGTTATCATTGGTTACTTGATGCCATCAGTGTTGATGGACATATCCGGGCATCATCCGCTGCACAGTAATGCCAACAGCACACTAACATACTTGTATGGCTTTGTGTGTGCCTGCGAGAGAGTGAGATTGCGTGCGTATGTTTGAATCTGTGTGCGTGTGCGTGCCGACCTGCCTGCCTGCCTGTTCGCCAGACAGCCAACCAGCTAGGCATGGAGCCTGCCAATCAGCCAGCCCCACTTCATGCACTTCTAGTTAATGTTAGTTGACTAAAGGCAATCGGCAAGTAGCCCTACTCGAATGAGGTTTTGTGTTTGTTAGTAATCATAAACAGGATATATCCACAACCTGAAGGGAACAGATGTCCACTGGGAGATTCGCACCCACGTTACTCGGTGTAGAAGTCAGTCATGGACAACTCTTCCCCCAAGGTTGCAGATATTTCCTACTGACAAGTTAAAACAATTGTCAGGCCTACTTCTAGCAAGGTTTGTTGCCAAGAGCTTCCAACAAACTAACTGAAAGCAGGATTTTTTGGATATTTTCAAGTAGACATTTCTTGGATTTCGATGATACTAATTTATGTCAAGTGTAACACAAACTCGAAGGTCTATAGGCAAAAACCAACAAGTTGACAAAAGAGGTAGAGAAGATGGGACTTCCTTCAGGTGAACGCAGACAAGACACAGATGATGAAGTTACCCAACCAACCAATAATAACAACAACAAGCACCAATCATCAATCACCCTCAGCGGGGTAAATCGAAAGGAAGTTGTCCCTTTTATCTACGTATCTATCTACCTATCTGCCACCCCACACGTACCTACCTACCTAGGAGGCAGCATCGTCTCGACTGCAGGCGGCACAGATAAAGATGAGAACGTGAAACCCAGGATCGAAAAGACAGCAAGACAGGCCTTATTGCAATAATCTACTACACTGCACTGCACTCCACTGCACTTCACTCAGCATAAAGGATGAACAACATCCGGATTTACAACACTAAATTAGTCAATTAAGTCAGTGCTTCTTTGTGATGGTTAAGAGACTTGGCGTGTTACCAAAAGCATTTGCAACAAACTGCCCACACTCATCAACAGTTGCCGCCTACACTCACTCGATACTGCAGATGGAGATGAAATGTATGTCGAGAATAATTAGAATGAGCGAGGGGGAAGTGTGGCCTGGAAACGAACCAACGAGTCAAGAACCTATCACCAAACACATATGCAGAAGAAGAAGAAGAAATTGTAGATGGATTGGATTGAACACACACAGATAGAAATGGTGGTTGTGACTCTTAGTCTGCCTTGGTAATATTTTAAGTCTACTGTGAGTTTGGGAGACTGTTATTTATACTGAAGTGATGATTGAAAGTCAAATGATAATTCAGGTTGCGGCCGGATTCAAACCGCAGACCACCGGGTTACCCGCCCAATGCTCTACCAACTGAGCTACGACACCTGACTGTTGACCGGAGTTTTATTTCACTTCAATCACCATGGGTTTTGCTCAACTACCATATGAATGCGTGACGTGTTACTACTGCTTGATCGTATTCAGACTAGCTGCTGCCTAGTCAGGGCTTCTCATCCCAATCCGAATCTAACTAGAATGATTCAGTTAGCTAAATCAAGATTAGTAGATCCTAATAAGATAAGTCATAATTTACACAAAAGCTCGGCTGTAGCTCTGCATGCAATTACACACAATCACATAGTAGGGTGGAATAGGGTGACAGTGTTGATAACTAACTTAGTCGGGTGGAGGGAGGGAGAGATTGATAACCAAATCTTTGTTTATCAAATCAACACCAAACACATACAGTAATAGGAATGATTCTGCACGTGTCCCAGATATACAGAAAATGCTACTACCCATATCATCACAGAGAAGGAGAGAAAATTGTTAATATATAAAGTCTGTCTCGAAGTTATGGAGTCAGTTACCTCATATGAATATGGACAATGAATTGTGTCCGAAACATTATCCAGTAATAACACTAATACAAATACAAATAATAGTGACAACATAAGTAGAAAGGAAATCAACACCTCTATTGTAATACCATACAAGGAAGGAACATCAGAAACCATACGTAGGATTCTCAACAAGGATGGAATTATGGTGGCATTTAAACCAACAAACTCACTTAGAGGTAAGCTTTGTCGGCTAAAAGATCCGATAGAACCAATTAAGCAAAATAATATAATCTACCAAATTCCATGTAATGACTGTGAGGTCAAATACATAGGTCAAACTAGCCGGTCGGGGTCAGTTAGATTAACAGAACATAGGAATTTAGCTAAACATAGAACGGCAGACCCCAATAAGATCAATAACCTAGAAAAACACTCAGCCATTGCATTACATTCATTCATTAACACACAACCACACAATAGGATGGGACAAAACCACTGTACTTAAGTCTAATGTAGCTAGGTGGAGAGAGAGATTGATTACTGAATCTTTGTTCATCGAATCCACACCCAACACATGTAATAGGAATGACGCAACACCTATACCAGAGATATGGAAAACTTTACTACCAATCAAAAAACAAAAAAACAAAGAGAGATCAGGTGACAGGACTATAAAATCAGATGTCGAAAGAAGTGTGATTACATTGATATGATTATGAGCAGTAATAATTTATGCTCGAAACGTAATCAATTAAATAATACTGTATCACTGTGCGCTTTATATCAAATAAACAAATCTAATATGGAATTATCCAGTAAGGGCTACTGTTTCACTGTGTGATATTTCGAATAAACGGACTAAAACTGTCACTCAAGGCTTTCATCAGACTTTACATTTTTTCAGTATCTTCAACACTGTCTGAGTACTGTAAGTCGACTAAGGAATCTTCACTTAAGAAATTAATCGCTGTGAAATTCTGCCTATTACAAGGAGAGTCTCAACAGATCGACATCAATGGTCGCTGGTTCGAATCCGGCCGCTGTCCAGATTTTCATCTCGCCTTCAATCATCACCCAGTACAAATTGTTGAAACCTTCGAATCATACCGTTTTTGCAATTTGGAAAAAGGAACTAAAATGATTATCTCAGCTATCACCCAATATGAATACTAGGGTGCCAAACTACGCCTATCTCAGATTCCGATAATCGAATGATAACAGCTGATTTCTTGTATTCTCACTTCATGCTGGAGGTGAATAGCAGTCATTACTGTCACCAGATATTTACATTACTGATATGGGGATAGAAAGAAATGACTAGTCTTGGAATGAAGCAATCATAATTTAGTTTATTGTTAACGAGTCTATTTCCAACAAACTGCAGACATTCATCAACAACTGCCTGCGCTGGCTCGTTACTGAAGCTCACATGGCCAGAATAATAAGAATAAGCAACAAGGAACTCTGGGAAGGAACCAACGAAGCAAAAACCTATCACTCAACGAATATGCACTGGAAGGAAGTG